ATCTGTGTTAACTCTGAGTTGGCATGGATGCATGGAAAGGGAGCTATGGAAATGTGCCTGTAGGACAGAAGCAAGCACTCTGTGTCTGAAGTCATGACCTTGGTGAGTGTTGTGCTCTGACATTAGCAAGTGAACTTGTTACTTCTGTAGCAAATCACCCTCCATCTCCTGTCCTTCTCCAGGCAAGTCTCAGGGATGATGGGATGGGGGATGGGCTTGATTTCATGAGTACCACCTACTCTGGGAATGTTCTCACACACACAAACTTTAACTATGATAACTTCATATATATGTACAGGTATGTATATATCTATAAATACATATATAAAACTATACCTACACACACACAAAAAAAAATCCGGTCTGTTAGGGCACTGTAATCCTTTGAGGAAGGCTTGCACTCTTTTTCTGGTTGCTATTCAATATCTGACCCTTGCGTTGACAAGAACACTACTAGCCCATTGCTTTCTCTGAGAAATGAATATGGATCATCTTATGGGAAGATTCCCCAAATTCTTTAAATAATTTATGTAAAAATATAAAACGTTGTAATTCCTTAAAGTTATAATAATTATAAGAAATACATTTTTTCCTCATAATCTAGATCTGGACGTGCTCTTTAGGGCCTGAAGATAAAATAGATTTATTATCTACCAAGGGAAAATAATTGAATTGCAGGAAAACCTAATCATAATTCTCCAAATTCACTAGATGCATAATTTACATTGCAACAAGTTTGCTGGCTAGGGCACTGATTAAACTCACTGCTTTATGAAATGGTTCATTCAATATTTCTTTGGGAATGCAAATTGAAGCTTAGAAAATAGCAAGCATACTCTGGAAATTCACTAATGTTGGCATTCTAGGAGATGATTAAGAAAATTAAAAAAACTATAACCCCAAATGTCTTACTGCCTCCCCCCTCACATGCACACACAAACTTGAGTTATTACAGAGTGAAACTGAAATAGTCAGTTGGTTGCAAATGTTAAGGTATCACTGAAAGGGGAAAATAACATTAGCAAACAGACGACATCACTTCAATAAAGTGAATCTTCAGCCCTGCAGAGACACAAGGCCTAGCTGTTAACCAACTTCTGGCACTCAACCTTAGGGGAATCCTGCCCTGAATACTAATCAAATGGAAATGACCATAAGCTAATACTCTCATATAATTCCTTTCTTTAAATCCATAACAAGGAAACCCATCCTTCTAAGAGGTTTTCAGAAGGTAGAACTGACCTTGGCATTCAGTCTAATCCTCGTTTTTTACCCAACCCTACTTTGACACAAAGCAATGGTTTGTGGTGCGGTTGTTAAGATGGCTAAAGATGCCTTATTTCGGATTGCTTCTCTGAGTGGTATTGACCCCTGTGTACTGCTGAGGTGAACTTTCCCACACAGTATGATGAAGTCTGCATTGAGGGATGCCTTTGCACTTCCCCTGTTCTTCAAGAAACACAACACTAAGAATCATTATCTAGATATACATTTTGGTTGTTTTTGTAAATTCCAAGCCTGGGATTTCATAGTGGTGTAGTTGGTTCTTAGCGAATAAGACTGAACATTGTACAGGACAAAGGCTAACACGTTTGGTTTCCTGCTCACATTTATTGGGGCTAAAGAGACTAAAACAGTTAATTTTCTTCCCAAAGAATTGAAAAAATATATATAATACAACAGCAATTTAAGTAAGCACATGACAAAACTTCCTAGATCATGAACCAACATGAGATGTGATAGCCTATAGATATCAATTGAGACAGCTTTATACAATGTCATTCATCTAAGGCATGTGTGAACCGGTTCTCACGGCCGCATGTGTGGACACAGTTTCACATACATAAAGGCGTCTGTCTGCTCATGGACAGAGAGATATGTCCTTTAGGATCACCGGGCACAGAAGGATAAAACAGCAAACTTGGTTACTGAGTAATTTTAAAGGGGAAACTTGGCTTCCAAGAAACAGTTTTGTACATCCAAAAATCAATGAGGATTTTCCACTTGAATGAAGAGAATTATTTTGTGATGCAAACTACAAGAAAATTCACACGGAATTATTTGCTTTCCAAAGGCCACTTTCAAAGTACAGATTTCAAATGCAGAGCAAATACCCACGGCATGAACAAATAGGATGGCTGGGATTCTAGCACTTGCTTCTGCATGGCTTCCCACCTGTCTTCCCTAATGGATTCTAGTGGGGGAAACCTCAGAGCGGGCAAGGTCTGGATGATGGACCATCGTATCCAGTAAGATTTCTGGAAGGTGTAAACCTGATGGGCTTTGAAACCTATTTCAAATGGACTAGAAAATTTTTGCCACAGCCCAACACTTTTGATAAGAATCTTCCTAAAGGACAAGGAGGAGGCTGAAGGACAGAGTAAGCAAACTCTCCAGAGGACAATGCAAGGTGAAAACACCAGCCTCCCCCATCACGGCTCCCTCTTTGTGTCTTGGTAATCAAGGATGAGTTAAGCTGGTGCTGTGCCCTGGGATGTGCCAGAGATACAGACACTTGGGTTCTAGCTACCAAGTTCTCCAGTAGGTTCAGACATACCTTCTCACACACATTTTGCCACATAAGGAAGAAGACACCATTATTCAGGCACTTTGCAACATTAAAAAAAAAAAAAATCCAGTTAGGTAAAAATCAGTTTAACAAACAATCCCCATCCCAGCCAAAAAATAAAATCAAAACTAACGCTTTTATAAAAAATCCCTGGAAGGCAATTTCCCTCAATTTCCCCAGGGAAATAGCATAGACCCTCTTTTCCACCTTTACTCCAAATCCACCAGCTCTTACTTCTGAGACAGCCGCATTCAGGTTTCCTGAAGTCCGTGCCAGTTAGAGCCATGCTCAGAGAATTTGCTAATGTTGGCTAGTGTTGGTGTTGCTGACACTCTTGCTACAAAAATCCAAATTCAGTTGTGTTCCTGTCATGCCCTGAGCTGCAACAAAGGCCGCTCCCCCTCAAGGGAGGCCGCTGACTATGCCTGTGCAAGTTAACCACTCACACAGATGCACATTTATATTGGGACTAATATGACATACCTTTTCAGAAGAGGGTTTTTGTTTTTCTCAAGTGCTTAGACATTCAATGAAAAACAGAGCTAATTTATATGGAGACATTTCTAATAAGTGATTCAAATGACTTGGGCTGGTTGCCATTCCAAAGTTTTCCAGCATTCTATGATTTATACAAACTGGTGAATAAAAAAAGTACACGGCCAATAATATGTACTGCACATATACATCAGCTATTGATACATGTGTGTATGTTAAAGATCCTTGAATATATACATTCCCCCTTAGGAAATGTCCATCCCACTGCAGAGGCAAGGCGTCAGTCTTTGATAAGAGATCCAGGATAGCAGCAGTTTAAACATTCTAGTCACCAAGTTACCGTGGAAAACAGAATAGGCCCTGAATAGTCTCCCTGCCTTGAGGAGACGTCTCCATTAACACGGAACACAAACTGCTCTTAAGAAGCACCAGGCTGCATTGCTAATGGCAACTGTATAATCCTGTCACTAGAGAAAATATGTTCACCTTTTTAAAATCTATTTGCTGACTAATGGTCTAATGGGCAGGATGAGTCACACTGAGGTGGCACAAATCCAAACTACTAAAGACACATGAAACACTTCCATTTGATTTCTTGTTGTCATTTTATCTGTTTCTTGAGGACACAGAAAGTGCTCAGATTGTCTGAACAGCTCCCAGGAGAACGATACTAAATTAGGCTGAGCAAAGAGCTGCTCTAACTTGCGTCTGAAAGTATGTAAATAACCTGATTATCACTTTACAGACAGCATAAAATCACACTAGGCATTGTTTTAAAAGATTTGTTTTTGAATCTACCCTCCTGGGTGAGTTATAAACTTATAACAAAAATTCACATGTGTACTAAGTAAAAAAAAAATACCTTTTATGCTGACAGATAAATCATTTAGTCATAGAAAGGTACAAGGTCTTTTATCTAATCTTACTTTGTGTCATCTGTTGGACACCTCCATGCTTGTCTGGGAGAGTCACATGGATTCTAGATGTATGTATGTATGGATGGATGGATGGATGGATGGATGGATGGGTGGGTGGATGGATGGACGGATGGACTATAATGTGTACTGCTGATATACACTTTCCAGTCCAACTCCTAATCTGAGGGCCCAAGAAAGGACCCTTCCACAAAGGCTTTGAAGCTGGCCTACCCACACCCATATAAAACACTTTTATAGACCACAGCTGCAGGCTGTGAGCGGTGCACTGGTTACTTTAGAAGAATAATGTCTGCCAAACAACAGACACTAAATTAGGCCATGTAGTTTTACATGTTACAACCTTTTCCTGGGAAGGGACAACTCCCTCTGAACAGCAGTTTCTTCTGCCTGAAGATGAGATTACACAGGGAGAGAGCTATTATGTTTCTGCCAAGTCACTGTGGGAACACTGAAGAAGTGCTCGCAGTAGCTGGCACAGGCACGCCAGCCAGTGCATCGACTCCTGAGATAAGCAGCCAGCTCTATTGCTCATAGAACTTCTTACTATGCTAGTCTTATCCTTCCCCTCTGACTCTTGGCTTCTGCCATGTGACTCGTGGCAGTGGAATCAACACAGACTTTTGCTCAGTTTGCAATGCCACCAAGCACAGCAATGCCATTATTACACTGAATATTCATCCAGGCTCCTTAGGTTTGGACGGAAGATGAGCAGCCTGGTGGGATCCTTTGGATGGCAAGATGGTGATGCGTTAAGAGTTTCCCAGGCAAGGGCGAAGCTCCCAGCCTGCTCCACAGACACAGTCTGGACTGTTGCATCTCGACACGCAGGAACACTGGCACCCGGGACTTGGCCTTTTCCAACACCGAATGCTGTCAGGCAAGTTCAGGGTCTGGACACAGAGGCACTTCCAAAGTTTGGCAAGGAGAAGGAGGCAAGGTTGCTAAGTGGGGCTTTATCGCTGCGCTGTCTCATATAACCCAGATGTCTGTGTAGGTAACTAAGTTGTGGATGGATCATGCTTTTTCTTCTTGCCTCGACAGGACTTGCAGACACAGCAGATTATACATGGAGAGGCCAGGAGTAGCAGGGGTGAAGTCACCAAGGCAATAATGCCTAATCCCACAAGGATCCCTACCACCTATAAATTGAAGAGAAAATCCTGTTTCAGAAGTTACATCATCGTGGATGTGTACATGCTTCCAAGTGTAATGGCCTTTATGGTGTGAATGTGTGTGTCTCCCCCTTCCAAATCCCCATGTTGAAACCTTCATGCTCAGTGTGATGGCACTTGGAGAGGGGAGCCCTAGCTGAGACTCTGGAGCCTTGGTGGTACCAGGGAGCTCAAGAGTTCTCCTCCACTCTCAGCTTTCTGCCGTGGGAGAACACAGCAATAAAACTATCATCTATGAACAGGAGGAGTGCCATGAGTGTCACGCCTCATTGCCAACATATCTAGATCTAGAATCATCTAAGAAACACACCCCTGAATGTGTCTGTGGGCACATTTAATCAGGATTAACTGAGAAGGGAAAATGTGTGATGCCATCCCATGGGCTGGGCATTGGATTGAATAACAAAAATAAAAAAGAAGAAAGCCTGATGGATGCTCGTATTCCCCTTTCACTGATTCCTGCTCTGCTAAGACATAAGGAGGCCCAGCCTCAAGTTCCACTGGCGTGAACTCTGCCATGTCTTCCCCACCATGATGGACCATATGTCCTCAAACCATGAGCCAAATTGAACTCTTGCTCCTTTAAGTCCTGAGACAAGTGTCTAACATAAGGACCCTCAGCAGAACCCGTCCACATTGATACCCGAAGTTCAGACTTGCAGCATCCACAACTAGAAAGAAGCCATCTTTGTTGTTCCAGTCACCCGGTCTATAATAAATAGTCTGTTAGATGAATGACTAGGATGCTGTCTCAGGCACATTTAGCAATGTTCTAAACTGGACACAAATTACAAAGCCACAAAGGACTAAATCAAGGGAACAAACAAAAGGCTGACTCAAGCTTAACGGTTAACTCCAAACCCTGAACTGTGGGTGTTGGCTCGTTCTCTATCAGGGCTTCTCTAACAGTCTCACAGGGACATTAATAATGTTTGTTAGGATATGAGCATTGGTTTCCTCAAAGGGAGCATAGCCTTTGATAAATACAAAACACTATTAAAAAACAAACCACAACTCCCTTTGAACCTGCCACATAAACACACAATGACATGTACAGAGGGATCCGAGGCCCGGCAGGAGCCCATCGTATTGGGGAACTCTCCTTTGATGGCTGGTGTGCTCTAACTGCTTGGAGGAAACTCCTCCCATGTTTTGCAAGAGCAAAGAACATGGGTATTCACTTGGCTGCTCACTGTAGTGCTCAGTTCTCTGGTGCCTCTGTCCCTCAGCAATTGTGCTCTTGAATTAACTTCAGGGGGCTGCCCCATTGTTCTCTCTCTCCTTGTACCAGAACCTCCCAAGAGGGCATGGGAAAGCAAGGAAGCTACCTAAGTCCAATGCATCTCATGGAGGAGGGAGGGTACCTGTGTTCGGTTCCACATTACCGATGCTCTCGAGTGGCCCAGCTTATTCCTGCATGGCCCTTTGTCATAATGCCTGAGGAATATGTCATTCTGAAACACAAAGAGAGGAGTTTCAGTAAGTGCACAAAGTGGAGTCGAGAGGTGGATATTAGGTGCACAGGTCACCTAACGATATGAATGACTTCTTCTAGGAATCCCAACCCGTCCTCTTCAGCTTGGCTTGCAGCTCTGTAAATCACCCAGGAGACAAATCGTAACAAACTATTGGCTGAGGCAACAGAAAACCGAATGACCCGATCAACCATCTCCGACAGGTAACTGACAGTGAGCTCTAGCAGAGGTTTGCACGGAACATGAGAACCATAAGCCAGGAGCATGCCTGACGTGAGAAATGCCACCAACTGACAGCTAATGGGGAAGGGAAGCCGGTTAAGAAAGTAATGAACGAAATAAAGAGACAGGGAAACAGGAACTTGATGAGAGGGAAGCTACTGAGGAGAAAGAAGGCAATGGCTCTGCCAAGAGAAATAACTCGGAGCTGGATTTGTGGGGGGAGGGTAAAGATGAACTACAGTTTGGACATGCTGAACTTGTCATCCAAGCAATACAACCAAAGGCAGCCCATTACTTACACCTGGTCTTTGAAGGAGAGACTTGGGCATTACTATACAAAAATTGGGGGAAAAAAATCACAGAACTCAAGGAGATTAATCTAGAAGGGTAGCTGCCTGAGAAGCAAATGTCTTCAGAGAAGACCCCATGAATAGATGAGGAGTCCTGAAAGAAGACTAAAGAAACTGAGATACAGTCGGAGAGGCAACGTCAAAGAGATAGAAGAGATGGCAACTGGCTAAGACGTCCAATGCAGCAGAGAACCTGGGAAAGCTAAGGATGTTGATCTTTTCCAGTAAGAAGGAAATTATGCAAAACCTTGGAAAGAATATATTCAGGGTGTAGCCGCATGGCTATGTGGCATGTCTTATGCTGACTGGAGGAAGGCGGATGTCAGCAGCAAGAGGTGACTGGGCTCTCTGGAAGCTTGGCTTCTGAATACAAAAAAAAAAAATGGACTGTCAGTTTAAGGAGGCTGGCTCCTCTCCAAATGGTAAAGGAGTAGAAGTTGAGGTCACATGAAAGAGAAAACAAAACTGAAGGTAACAAGTCTGTGAGGTGCCATTGCAGCCTCTGACGTGGCACGGTAGGAGCAAACTCAGTGCCCAGCACAGAGTCTCTCTGTTTGGTGGCTGTCTCAGACGTGGGCCTTAGAAAAGCCTCCTTTGTCACAGGTTCTCAACTTTCCCACAAACACATCAACACCCACCGAGTGGCACAGAATACTGCCATGCAGAAAAGCATCTTTGACACCAGCCGATGCCCTCATCTAAAACAGAGAAAGCAAGGTCACAAGGCACAGTGACAGAAAAGCGTGCTTTAACATCTGAAGTCCATGTGTTCAGACATTTAACATCTGTCCCATTGCATCTCGAAGGCCCACACAGCACAAGTGTCTGAACAGAGTGTTCACAACACCACTCGGCAGACATACTCCAGCCAAAGAATGGGGGTCTGGTGCACACACTGAGTCCCTTACGTTCTTCCCTCCTGAAAAGAAGCACGCGGGCTCAGCTGCCTGGTAGACAGAAACGCAGTTTCTGGTCTGGGGACACCAAGGAGAAAACCCTAGGATCTCTTTCGAATGTGTAAATCGTGTAAAATACCACACCCACTTGTCATCTAAAGGACAATGTTGCAGCAAAGTTACTCAAAGTGGAAACCATTTGTGTGCCGTTTAAATTCTTTTCGAATCCACCTGCAGCTCTCCAATCTACTGCACTTCCTTTAAAAAAAGACCAAGCTCACAGAGATGTCTCCTCACGATGTCCTCAACAGTTTACCTAACTTGCAGCTGACTTGTGCCAGTAGGCATTCCATTAATGACACCTTCGCTTAGGATACTACAGCACGCAGCAAACTGCTAGTTGAATGAAACCCGGCTGTAAAGCAAAAGCAAGAGCCGATGAAGAGACACCAGTGTAAGTGTGTACTGTCTTATGTCACTTGATACAAGCTAGTCAGCGGAGGAGGGAGCCCCAACTGACAAAATGTCTCTACAAGATTGGGCTGTAGGCAAGCCTATGGGGCATTTTCTTAATTGGTGATTGATGGGGGAAGAGCCCAGCCCATTGTGGGTGGTTCCTCTCTTGGACTGGTGGTCCTGGGCTCTTTATGAAATCAGGCTGAACAAGCCACAAGGAACAAGTCAGTAAGCAGCACCCTCCATGGCTTCTGCATCAGCTCCTGCCTCCAGGTCCCTGTCCCGCTTAAGTTCCTGACCTAACTTTCTTTGATGATGAACTAGGATGTGGAAGTGTAACCAAATAAACCCTTTGGTTACCAAGTTTCTTTGGTCATGGTGTTTCGTCATAGCGATAGTAACCCTAACTAAGACATGTGTGACCGAGGTCTGACCCCAATATGGACACCCATTGTAGCTTCAAATTGCCCTGACAGGAGTATCCATAAGCAGTTTGCACCACCTCAAACGTTAAAAGATTGGGAATGAAGCCCATCGTTCTCAGCCACCCTTCCTACAGCTGAGGTCACTGTTCACGTTGGCACAGGGCTGAATGGAAATGCAGCTGACTGTGAGAAGACACACTATCAGGTAGTGAAGGAGAACATGATAAGACAAGTCCCAGGATCTAGCAAGTGGCAAGGCAGTACTTCCTGTCACACCGCCACACAAAACACAGGGACGAGAGACAGCAGCTTCTCTGATTGCAAGGAGGCAGGATGCCGGCCCCTCCAAGATGCTCATGGCTGCGTCTCCAGTGACCATGTCTGCACGTGAAGGACCTTGGCCTGGAGGAGATTATCCTTTGTGATACAAATGTGTCTGGTCCCATTTCATGGGAGAGCGAGTCCTTCCTGCTTGTGGTCAGTGGGAATGAGAACCATGACGGGGTCAGAAAGAGGCGATGTTGCTACCATTGGAGATAGGGAAACAGAATCAAGTCTACAATGCAAGCAACCCCATCTCTAGAAGAGAGAAAAGCAAAGAACTGGATTCTCAGCTAGGCTGCAGACAGTGAGATTCATATTAGACTTCTAATGCACAGACACAGTTCTGAGTTGCTTTAAGCCATAAAGCTTGCCATCATTTGTTACAACAGTATTATAAAACAAATGCACTATTTACATGACATTGACATGATATTTACATGACAGACGTAACTTCCTCCAAAGCATAAAATGCCTTTAAAACACAATGCAGTCTTGAAAGCAAGAGTGGCATATCTAAGGTACCACAAAGAGGTCTCATGGTGTCTGCAGCGGCAATGGGGATGTGACTCGGTGGCACGGTGCTTACCTAGCATGCACAATGACTGGGTCCAGTGCCCGGTGCCATGGAACAAATGAAAGCGAAGGGAACGAGGATGTGAGAAGTAAAAGGAAGGAGGGGGAGGGGAAGAAGGGAAGAAGGGAGACGCGGAAGTAAAGAAGGACCAATGGAAGGCACCAGGCTGAGGAAATCTCGCTAAGAAAAGCAACTTCCTTTTGCAGGGGAATAAGAGGCTCTGAGGTTACGGGAAGGACAGTAGGGCTCTGACTGCTGCGGCACAGACTACAGAAAGGACGGTGGGGCTCTGACGGCTGCGGCGCAGGCACAGCAAAGGGCAAACGAGCAGCCTGTTGCGAGGCGCGCTTACGTCCAGGTTCTGCAGACAGTACCAGCAAAACGTGTGCTTGCAGTTTTTGCACATCATCTGGGCACAGCCTTCATTGCGCTCAATGTAAATGCGGCAAACCGGGCATTGTTTAATGGGGGCGTTGGCCTCCGTCCCAAAGAGGGCCCTAAAACAAAACAGATGAGATGTGTTCAGTCAGGGGTCACCCACCTGATTGCCAGGGCCGCTAAGCGGATGGTCAATACATTCTGTTTGCTGTGTTTAGTTCACTTCCAAAGAAAAGGGTGGGAGGAAAAAAATGGGAGACATGGATTATTAGTTGTTCAGATAGCTCAATAAGAAAGAATTTATTTATTTTGGCTCCTAATGAATTATATAATTACACTTTCCACAGCTGGCTGACTTTATTGCTTTGCCAAATTAATACTTCATTCCTGGATCACACATTCTCTGAATGAGAAGTCCATGGAGGGAGTTAGACTGTGAGAAGTGCGATGCGGTCTCTATAATGACCTGCTCATTAAATGAGGGGAAGAGGTGGGATCCAGTTAGCAAAGCTCACAGAGGTGCCAACTATTATCGAAAAGGCCTCCTCCAAGTTGCTGAATAGGCCAGTGTGTGACCGCAGCAGAAAGGGACACAGGACACAGTGGTTCAGGTTGAGCAAGGAGGGAATCAGAACACCCCATCTCACTCCACTGACAGACAGCGTATCAAAGCCAGCACCCAGCACACAGAGACATGGCAATTCACAAAATGTTGTCAAACCTATGGTCAGATGTGGTGCTGGAAATAACATAGCGCAGACAGTATTTCTATTTTAATATTCTCCTTTGGGCTGGAGAGATAGCTCAGCAGGTAAAGATACCTGCTGCTAAACCTGATTACCTGAGTTTAATCCCTGGGATCCATGTAGTAAAAGGAAAAAAAAATCTCTCACAAGTTGCTCTCTGACCTCCACATATGATGGCACAGGTCCACACATGTACACATGTGCACGCACGCGAATACACACACACACACACACACACACACACACACACACACACGAGTAAATGTAATAAAAACTTTAATACCCCCTTTTCCCAATGGGGATACATACTCATAAGAGGCTGAGTGTCTTAGATGAGGCTACCTGGATGTCACAAATAGTGCCAGAACTCAAGTCACCCCTCTCCTCTGACCTCTTTAAACTAACAGGGGGAGGCTAACGACTATGCAAGACACTGCTTTAAATCTGATGGAGATGGCACAGAGCACTTCATGTATCAGTGTTCTCTTTCCTCTGGGCTTGGTCTGATATTCAAGCATAGCACCAAAGCCAGGCAGTATGACTATTCCTGAAGACAGGTTCTGCATAGTCTGAGGGCAGTGGGTGAGTAAGCCAACTGGCCAGGAACACTGGTGTTTTGTTCTTGCTCATGCAGAACAGCCTTTGCCTCAAGCGAAGCATGGGATCCAACACAAAGGTCTCTCACTCTGCTCCCAGCTACTGCTATAAAAACCCAGGCACCCGCCAGTTGAATTGCTTCACAACGTAAATCTCAGGCCTGGCACCACCTTTCATGACATAAAGCATTAGGAACGACTCTTTCTTCTCGTATTTTCTAAGCACTTAGGAAGACAGTCCACCTGTCTGTGTGCTCTGTAGGACTGGCATACCCCACAAGCTGGCCATTTAATCAGGTAAGATCATCTCTCTGTTATTTTGTAAACAGGAAGAATGGGCTACACCAGTGATGGGTAAATGTGGTTTTAGACAAGCCCTGACTTTCTGCTGAAACCTACTGAGCAATCAGCCTCTCCACCCAAAGGGAATGAACTGAAACAAATTTAACATGACCTGGAAGGTTCCCCATAGGATAAAGAGTTAGAATCCCTTTAGACATACTGTTCTGGTTAGTGTCTGTTACCATCTTACTAATTTTTCTCAGGATATTTCTACAGTGAATGCCTAAGAGCCATGCTCTAACTCCTTCCCAAAGGTGCTGATGTGAGGTTTGAGAAGAACACTGGGGATAATCCCAAAGATACTTCATCCCTTCCTTACCCATGCTCTGGCACAATGGACTGTTCTCTACAGGCAGCCTCCCCATGCCAAGCATCCTTGCAACACGAGCAGAATTTCAGCTGGCAAGAAGGACACTCCACCATCACAGGCTTCCCTGGGTCTCCTGCTGCAATATGGCACACTGTCTGGCAGTCTGCCACAGGGCACCATGTGCGTAGGGGGTCCATGTGAACCTCTGAAACATAAAGAAGGAAATGGTGATGGGCTTTCTCCCATCCAAGCATTAAGCTTGCTCCCCTTCATTGGCCTTTTTTTTTTTTTTTAATAGAGCAACACGTGTAGCATAGTATCAGTAGAAGAGTGGCCATCTACATGACTGACAGTCTTCATAATGGATCCAAGCCCATCAGCTACCACCCACCATCCAGAGCACAAGGTCATCCCCACCACACTCTCAAGGTAGGAACAAATAGAGCAAGTCTCTCTGCTCTTGTTAATAGGTATGCTATGGTCTTTAACCAAAAACTATATCTTACCTTTAAGCACTCAAAATGGGCAAAAACTTGCCAGGCAATAGTGGCACATGCCCTTAATCCCAGCACTTGGGAGGCAAGGGCAAGTGGATATCTGAGAGTTCAAGGCCAGCCTGATCTACAGAGCAAGTTCCAGGACATCAAGGACTGTTACACAGAGAAACCCTGTCTAGAACAAACAAACAAACAAACAAACAAAAAGGCAAAAACATGTCTCTTCTATGATGAGCTAAGGTACCATCTTGGAGGAAAGGGTGCAGAACATCAACACAGGAGAACAAAAGCATTCTACATAAAAGAACATGTGCATTGGGCTCTGAGATACAGTTCCTACAGCAGGTAATTGGAAAACAAGGATTCAAATAGTTTAGGATCAAATAACATCCAGTGTGGCTTAGCTAGAAAGTCAGACTTAAGTGGTTTGCTGTCTTCCCAGTGAACAAATTAGGGACTATTTACAAAGTGCCTGTAGGCTCTTAAAACAAACAGGAACTTTCTCAGGCTATAAAGTGATAGCCAGCCATTTAACAGTGGCTAGATCCATGCAGCACACAGGAGAAAGGGTAAGATCGGCAAGTGGATAGCCAGCCATCTGGTTAAGTTTTAAAGTCTCTCTTGTTTTCCCATTTCTTGCTCAAGATCAGATCCCATTTCTCTTCATCCACTATGCCTTATGATGAGACATATGAGGCTAGTAGAGGGCAGCAGTAAAGTAGCCTTTCTTTTTCTGAATGGATATACTTTACAAATTTCTTACTGATGATGTTTCCCTCTTAACCTCTGAGGTTAACTCCAACCCATTATGACTAAATTAATAAGTTGTATAATGGGAGAAGTTATGACATGTTTCTATCAACATATTGTTTCAGGCATCCAAAGCGGTACAATGAAAGCAGAAATGATGAATGAGGGAACAATTACAGATTCTGATAAATTGCTATAAGGTAGTTTAGAACCCAGGGAAGCTGCTGCCCATGGTCCAACACAACAAACACCAGGAAAGGATCTGAGCCACCGAAAACAGTGATCTGAACTTCCCAGCATCATGATAGGACATGAGGACCAGGCAGAAAATCATGGCATCAGGGCAAGGATGGCAGCATCACAGTTCTCCACAGAGATGTGTACCAGATGCAGCATTAGGGGAGTCTGTTGTTGTGCTAAGACCTTGGTGAATTCAGACAAACGTAATGGCATGACAACACTAGGTGGAACAATCTTAATAGGCCACTGTCATAGAGAGGTCTCATTTATGTGGTCCAGATGTTATCCTGTGGTCATGTTTGTTCTTCCTCCATTAGAAGTTGTGTTTGCATATTTCTGGGTTGGATAGATGACTTGTTGGTTAGTGAGACATAAGCTGGACAGCAGCCTGCACTGAGCTATTTATACCCCTGTCTTCTTCAAGGATGCCTTACAGAGCTTAACTACGATCAAAGGCAGATCTCAGGAGATGGATTTCTAGCTCTACCTGAAAATAAAACTGGCCACTGTAGCCAGTTCTCCCAGCTAACTCTCCCAATCCCCTTGCATCTCACAGAAACACCTGTCTGCCATGACAGCCTGGGTATTCTAGAGCTGTACTGTCCCAGGCTCCTTGCAGCAAAGACTGGACATGTGATGTGATTCCAACCAATGGGAAGGTAAAATGAGACTCATCACAGGGCTTCTAGGACAAGACCTGGTGCCCAATACCATTCATTGTTCTGTCTCTGACCATAGGCTTGTGAAGTTAAGACACTGGGACAAGCATAAGGACTCTGAGGAACAGCTGGTTTAAGACATTTGAGCTGACAAATCAATCAAAGACACCACTGCCCACCTAAGGACTTCCTGTATAAGAAGTAGGAAGATGTCCTTGTGTTCAAGACATTTTCAGACACTCCATTCCCTGTAGCTGAAAGCATATTAACTTACAAAGCTACTTCTAGTAACAGTGAGTAAATAATCACACTATAGTGCTGTTTCTCCCACAGGGAAGATTTTACTGAGAGAACTATAGGACCATGTCCGAGATGACCTTAGAAGTTTTTCCTATACCCATAGTTTTATCAAGATGTACAGCACATGGAAATTATACAAGCAAATAGAAACAAATCAACACACATTATTCTGTAGAAACCTCGTGCACTATAACACAAATTCATGTACTTTTTAAGAAAAGTTAATACATTGTATCACAAAATAAAGTTTTATATAATACATTCATGTAGTTGAGCATTGTTTATATTTTTTAAAAATATAGGGAAAATGTATAAAATAATAGTAGATGTGTTAATGAAAAGACCAGATTAGGAAATAGTATAAATGAGAAATATTTCTAAAACTATGTATATAGAGACATATTTCAACTGCTTCCAGAATACTCTTTAAAGTAACAGCTTTTCCTGAGATGAAGGTCAATAGTTAGGTGAAAATGGATTTTCTTTATTGTGAATGTGAATTTTTAAAAATTACACTTATTTATTGTGTTTTGTGATTGTGTGCATGCCACTGTGTGCATGATGTCAGAGGACAACTTGTAGGGCCTGGCCCCTTCCTTCTGCCATGTGAGACCCAGGGATTGAACACAGGTCTTCAGGCATGGTGGGAAGGCCCTTTACCCACGGAGACATCTCTCTGGCCCATGTGATTTTTTTTTAAGGCACAAATATCACTTGTGTAAGTTTTTTTGTTTGTTTGTTTTGGGTTTTGTTGTTGTTGTTTGTTTTTTTTTTTCAAGACAGGGTTTCTCTGTGGCTTTGGAGGCTGTCCTGGAACTAGCTCTTGTAGACCAGGCTGGCCTCAAACTCAGAGATCCTCTTGCCTCTGTCTCCTAAGTGCTGGGATTAAAGGCATGTGCCACCAACGCCAGGCTGTATAAGTTTTTAAATTGTTTTTTTAAAGCTATTTTCTGAAGCCAAGCATAGTGGCTCACATTCGTAACCTCAGCACTCAGGAGGGAGGTGTCACTCAGAAAGACAACAATCATTTTTCCTGGTATCAAGACCAGTTGTTACACCTTCTAGAACTCTGTTCTTGATAACTCTCACCCATTTTACTTCCTGTCATCCTACCTATCATATCTTCCCGAATGTTCTGAAGTAAAGGGTTTGCTGAAAACACCTTAATAAATTGCTCCCCCCCCCAAAAGTCACCAGCAAAACCCCTCTGGGTGCACTCCCAAGTGCCCCTTCTAGCTGATGTCTCACCTTCCATGTCCAGTGGTTTGGGCTCTGTCTTCTCCCTTTCTGACCATTACTCTCCTTTCTCCTGTGCCACTAATACTGCTCTTAACTAGCATCCCTGGATACTGTTCTTGCTCCTGACTAGCATCCCTGGACACTCTTCTACTTATTTATGTCATAACTAAGGCTCAGCTCTCATAATTTGACTTTGAGGCACTGCCTCTCTTCACTAAAAGACTGAAAACTAGTCATGTCTATTTCTCACTCTTAATTCAATGACTGATTTCAAGTTCTTGTTAGGGATTTGGGCATATGAAACACAAAACATAAAGATTTCTGTGCTCAGAAATCTCAGAGTATGAAGATCACCGTATAGAAGGAGAGAAAGATTTAAAACAAAATAACACCTAAGAAACAAAAAAAAAACTAGCAATGCAAATGGTTGGGAGTGCATCTCCCAAGACGACAAAAATGAAATTATTAATAAACACCTGTGAGCCATGCTTGGGGATGGAGATAAGGGTACTTAAGAGCTACTTACAGAAAGCCCTCTATGCTTTCCTTCTTGTCCACATACTCATAATAAAATTTCCTGTTTTAATTAAGTCTAACATCAAAAGGCAAAAGTGGTTTCTTCTAATCACAGACAAAGCAGATAACACACGCTGAGATGAAACATGAGAAGATTAAGCCAGAAAAGGGCAAAAGCACTATATAAACACAGATTTTTTAAAAAAGAAGTCCCTTAGGTGGCAAGGGTGCAGCCAGTCTGCACATGGAGGCACAAGGGGAAAAGTCTCTATCCAGATGTTAGAATTAAGCTTCTGTACTTAAAGGACACATCCTGATGGGCCCTGGCAGCTCTCAAGCCAAATGCATCTCTCCCCAGATCCAAGGTGAGTGGTACCACACTGGCAGATTGAAATCAACCACAGCAAAGTGGCAAGCATTACCAGCTAGAGGGTCACAGAACAGAGGCTAAGCTGAATAAACACACCAATACACAAAACCTATGTCATTCAGCACATAAAATCACGAAGCACCCAGTAGGAAAATAAAGAGCCAAGCTTGCATAGCCTAAAAGGAAGAGTAGCCAGAACCGCCAACAGTGACGGGGCTTTTCAGTACAGCTCGTGGCCAACGGTTTCTCCTTCCTAATCATCCTTGATACGGACAGACACACACACCTGTAATAAAACCCACATGTGTACACAGCTTTCAGATGGTATTTGTTTTTATATGCTAAACTTGGTATTCATTAATGGCTTGCTGCACATCTTCCTGGGCTCTTCGACCTGAGTGAGTGGGTCCCCTACCCTGGAGTACAGGCTGTTTCCACCATGTAGGATGGAAGTACATCCAAGGCAGGTGCCTCTGGAACCCTCTACAAGGTTTCAAACACCTCTCCTGCTCTCAATCAGAGGGTTACACTCTGTGCGTTCTGGTCAACCTCAGCAGTCTAAGGTCTTTCCTCTTCTACACACAGAGTCAGAAGAAAAAGACAGATGAGGTACATGTGAATGCAGTCACTAT